CGACATTGTCTCTGTAATGGACAAATTCAACACGACATTGTTTCTGTAATGGACATATTCAACACGAAATTGTCTCTGTAATGGACATATTCAACACGACATTGTCTCTGTAATTGACATATTCAACACGACATTGTCTCTGTAATGGACATATTCAACACATTGTCTCTGTAATGGACATATTCAACACGACATTGTCCCTGTAATGGACATATTCAACACGACATTGTCTCTGTAAATGACATATTCAACACGACATTGTCTCTGTAATGGACATATTCAACACGACATTGTCTCTGTAATGGACATATTCAACACATTGTCTCTGTAATAGACATATTCAAGACGACATTGTCTCTGTAATGGACATATTCAACACATTGTCACTGTAATAAACATATTCAACACGACATTGTCTCTGTAATGGACATATTCAACACGACATTGTCTCTGTAATGGACATATTCAACACATTGTCTCTGTAATGGGCATATTCAACACGACATTGTCTCTGTAATGGACATATTCAACACGACATTGTCTCTGTAATGGAAATATTCAACACATTGTCTCTGTAATGGGCATATTCAACACGACATTGTCTCTGTAATGGACATATTCAACACGACATTGTCTCTGTAATGGACATATTCAACACATTGTCTCTGTAATGGACATATTCAACACGACATTGTCCCTGTAATGGACATATTCAACACGACACTGTCTCTGTAATTGACATATTCAACACGACATTGTCTCTGTAATGGACATATTCAACACGACATTGTCTCTGTAATGGACATATTCAACACGACATTGTCTCTGTAATGGACATATTCAACACATTGTCTCTGTAATGGACATATTCGAGACCACATTGTCCCTGTAATGGACAAATTCAACACGACATTGTCTCTGTAATGGACATATTCAACCCGACATTGTCTCTGTAATGGACATATTCAACACGACATTGTCTCTGTAATGGACATATTCAACACATTGTCTCTGTAATGGACATACTCAACACATTGTCTCTGTAATGGACATATTCAAGACGACATTGTCTCTGTAATGGACATATTCAACACATTGTCTCTGTAATAGACATATTCAACACGACATTGTCTCTGTAATGGACATATTCAACACGACATTGTCTCTGTAATGGAAATATTCAACACATTGTCTCTGTAATGGACATATTCAACACATTGTCTCTGTAATGGACATATTCAACACGACATTGTCTCTGTAATGGACATATTCAAGACGACATTGTCTCTGTAATGGACATATTCAACACGACATTGTCTCTGTAATGGACATATTGAACACGACATTGTCTCTGTAATGGACATATTCAACACATTGTCTCTGTAATGGACATATTCAACACGACATTGTCTCTGTAATGGACATATTCAACACGACATTGTCTCTGTAATGGACATATTCAACACATTGTCTCTGTAATGGACATATTCAACACGACATTGTCTCTGTAATGGACATAGTCAACACGACATTGTCTCTGTAATGGACATATTCAACACATTGTCTCTGTAATGGACATATTCGAGACGACATTGTCTCTGTAATGGACAAATTCAACACGACATTGTTTCTGTAATGGACATATTCAACACGAAATTGTCTCTGTAATGGACATATTCAACACGACATTGTCTCTGTAATTGACATATTCAACACGACATTGTCTCTGTAATGGACATATTCAACACATTGTCTCTGTAATGGACATATTCAACACGACATTGTCCCTGTAATGGACATATTCAACACGACACTGTCTCTGTAATTGACATATTCAACACGACATTGTCTCTGTAATGGACATATTCAACACGACATTGTCTCTGTAATAGATATATATTCAACACATTGTCTCTGTAATAGACATATTCAAGACGACATTGTCTCTGTAATGGACATATTCAACACATTGTCTCTGTAATAAACATATTCAACACGACATTGTCTCCGTAATGGACATATTCAACACGACATTGTCTCTGTAATGGACATATTCAACACATTGTCTCTGTAATGGGCATATTCAACACGACATTGTCTCTGTAATGGACATATTCAACACGACATTGTCTCTGTAATGGAAATATTCAACACATTGTCTCTGTAATGGGCATATTCAACACGACATTGTCTCCGTAATGGACATATTCAACACGACATTGTCTCTGTAATGGACATATTCAACACGAAATTGTCTCTGTAATGGACATATTCAAGACGACATTGTCTCTGTAATGGACATATTCAACACGACATTGTCTCTGTAATGGACATATTCAACACGACATTGTCTCTGTAATGGACATAGTCAACACGACATTGTCTCTGTAATGGACATATTCAACACATTGTCTCTGTAATGGACATATTCGAGACAACATTGTCTCTGTAATGGACAAATTCAACACGACATTGTTTCTGTAATGGACATATTCAACACGAAATTGTCTCTGTAATGGACATATTCAACACGACATTGTCTCTGTAATTGACATATTCAACACGACATTGTCTCTGTAATGGACATATTCAACACATTGTCTCTGTAATGGACATATTCAACACGACATTGTCCCTGTAATGGACATATTCAACACGACACTGTCTCTGTAATTGACATATTCAACACGACATTGTCTCTGTAATGGACATATTCAACACGACATTGTCTCTGTAATGGACATATTCAACACATTGTCTCTGTAATAGACATATTCTAGACGACATTGTCTCTGTAATGGACATATTCAACACATTGTCTCTGTAATAAACATATTCAACACGACATTGTCTCTGTAATGGACATATTCAACACGACATTGTCTCTGTAATGGACATATTCAACACATTGTCTCTGTAATGGGCATATTGAACACGACATTGTCTCTGTAATGGACATATTCAACACGACATTGTCTCTGTAATGGAAATATTCAACACATTGTCTCTGTAATGGGCATATTCAACACGACATTGTCTCTGTAATGGACATATTCAACACGACATTGTCTCTGTAATGGACATATTCAACACGAAATTGTCTCTGTAATGGACATATTCAACACGACATTGTCCCTGTAATGGACATATTCAACACGACACTGTCTCTGTAATTGACATATTCAACACGACATTGTCTCTGTAATGGACATATTCAACACGACATTGTCTCTGTAATGGACATATTCAACACGACATTGTCTCTGTAATGGACATATTCAACACATTGTCTCTGTAATGGACATATTCGAGACCACATTGTCTCTGTAATGGACAAATTCAACACGACATTGTCTCTGTAATGGACATATTCAACACGACATTGTCTCTGTAATGGACATATTCAACACGACATTGTCTCTGTAATGGACATATTCAACACATTGTCTCTGTAATGGACATATTCAACACGACATTGTCCCTGTAATGGACATATTTAACACGACACTGTCTCTGTAATTGACATATTCAACACGACATTGTCTCTGTAATGGACATATTCAACACGACATTGTCTCTGTAATGGACATATTCAACACATTGTCTCTGTAATGGACATATTCAAGACGACATTGTCTCTGTAATTGACATATTCAACACGACATTGTCTCTGTAATGGACATATTCAACACATTGTCTCTGTAATGGACATATTCAACACGACATTGTCCCTGTAATGGACATATTCAACACGACATTGTCTCTGTAATGGACATATTCAACACGACATTGTCTCTGTAATGGAAATATTCAACACATTGTCTCTGTAATGGACATATTCAACACATTGTCTCTGTAATGGACATATTCAACACGACATTGTCTCTGTAATGGACATATTCAAGACGACATTGTCTCTGTAATGGACATATTCAACACGACATTGTCTCTGTAATGGACATATTGAACACGACATTGTCTCTGTAATGGACATATTCAACACATTGTCTCTGTAATGGACATATTCAACACGACATTGTCTCTGTAATGGACATATTCAACACGACATTGTCTCTGTAATGGACATATTCAACACATTGTCTCTGTAATGGACATATTCAACACGACATTGTCTCTGTAATGGACATATTCAACACAACTTTGTCTATGTAATGGAAATATTTAAGACGACATTGTCTCTGTAATGGACATATTCAACACATTGTCTCTGTAATGGGCATATTCAACACGACATTGTCTCTGTAATGGACATATTTAACACGACACTGTCTCTGTAATGGACATATTCAACACGACATTGTCTCTGTAATGGACATATTCAACACATTGTCTCTGTAATGGACATATTCAACACATTGTCTCTGTAATGGACATATTCAACACGACATTGTCTCTGTAATGGACATATTCAACACATTGTCTCTGTAATGGACATATTCAACACGACATTGTCTCTGTAATGGACATATTCAACACAACTTTGTCTATATAATGGAAATATTTAAGACGACATTGTCTCTGTAATGGACATATTCAACATATTGTTTTATCTATAGTACCACATGTGTGGTTAGCATAAGAAACATTAATGATGTGAGATCACTTCATAAAATAAGTACAATGATAATTACTGAATTTTGGCACAAGATAGCTTTGTTCACTCACCATACCACGATATAGCTTTGTTAACGTACCCTGTCATTAGATAGCTTTTTTAAATCACAGCACTACTATGTTAACTTACCCCATTAATAGATACCTTTGTTAACTCAACATGCCACTAGACAGCTTTGTTAACTTACCCCATTACTAGATATCTTTGTTTGACTCACCATACCACTAAATATATTTGTTAACATACCATACCACTAAATATCTTAGTTAACTCACTATACCACTAAATATCTTTGTTAACTCACTATACCACTAAATATCTTTGTTTGACTCACCATACCACTAAGTATCTTTGTTTGACTCACCCGACTGTTGTAAGGCGACACGGATCATTAAATGGCAGCATTGGTCCACCCAACGAGCTAGCCAACAAAGTCAGGACAACGGTCAGCAGAAACATGGCGGATGTGCTGACCGAACTGTGTGCTGTCATGTCAGGATTCAGGCAAGTGGTGGACAGGTCATGACTGTGTTGCACGTGGTCACGTGATGAGGTGAAACTGGGTCACATCTTTGACTTTTCGTTTAAATTCAGTATGTAATTTAATTGATTTGAGACTAAAGTATTTTAGATAAGAATGTTTTTTAAAGAAAAGAAAAAAAAACGCAATGACTAAAGCAGTGATTATTGTATCTAGAAAAACATGTGTGTTTTTTATATTGTGTTTCATTCTAAAAATCACCGGCCTAATTTATTTAAACAAACAAAAAGTGACTCACTTGCTAGATTTGATTTTTTTATTGAACATAATCTTTAGAGAATTGACAAAATTTGTAAGCGTTTCAGTGTTAGTATTGTAGTTAGATAAAAACCTAATTCTTGAGTGTGGTCAGTTGGTCCTGCTATCCAGTTCAGCTGTAGGTGGAGTGGTCAGTTTGTCAAGTCTGGCATTGGTGTTGTAGGTGGAGTGGTCAGTTTGTCGTGTCTGGCATTGGTGTTGTAGGTGGAGTGGTCAGTTTGTCGTGTCTGGCATTGGTGCTGTAGGTGGAGTGGTCAGTTGGTCGTGTCTGGCATTGGTGTTGTAGGTGGAGTGGTCAGTTTGTCGTGTCTGGCATTGGTGTTGTAGGTGGAGTGGTCAGTTGGTTGTGTCTGGCATTGGTGTTGTAGGTGGAGTGGTCAGTTGGTCGTGTCTGGCATTGGTGTTGTAGGTGGAGTGGTCAGTTGGTCGTGTCTGGCATTGGTGTTGTAGGTGGAGTGGTCAGTTGGTCGTGTCTGGCATTGGTGTTGTAGGTGGAGTGGTCAGTTTGTCGTGTCTGGCATTGGTGTTGTAGGTGGAGTGGTCAGTTTGTCGTGTCTGGCATTGGTGTTGTAGGTGGAGTGGTCAGTTTGTCGTGTCTGGGGCTGTAGGTGGAGTGGTCAGTTGGTCGTGTCTGGCACCACAGTGTACAAGAAGGTCGTCCAGTACAGCTGGGAGTGGAGTGGTCAGTTGGTCGTGTCTGGCACTACAGTGTACAAGAAGGTCGTCCAGTACAGCTGGGAGTGGAAGGCGTGCATCAAGAGCTCGGCTTGACCTTTGACACTGGTGGTACAGGTTGGGTCACCTGAAAGCAAATGGAAACATTAGACGGTAGCCAACTGACCAATGGCATTAGCGACTGTAGCCAACTGACCAATGGGCTGGACGTATAGGCATGGTGCAGCAGAGTTTACCAAGATGGTGGCTAGACTTTAAACTAGAAAGTATAATTTTTAAAGGCATCGTACTTCACATGATAGACTATACGGCAGAGTTTTTAAGGCATCTTCTGAAGGGGGGGGGGAGAGGAAGTGCCCTCTCACCCGAAGCACATCCACGACCACCCCCACCCACTACCCCCACCTCCAAAATTACATAGAAAATACATCCACGACTAGTGTCCGCTCCCTGGAAATTCAAACCTCCCTTCCCGAAAGTTTCAAATGCCCCCCCCCACCCTCCACCCACGAAAAAAAAACAACTGAAACTTAACAAATCAACTAAACGTGAAACCGACAGTATAAAACACAGACGACAGTGCTAGACTCACCTACAGACCTACCTACAGACTCACCTGCAGGCGGCAGTGCTAGACTCACCTGCAGACGGCAGTGCTAGACTCACCTGCAGACGGCAGTGCCAGAGGTTTGCTCACTCCCCCCGTGAGTTCTGTGATACCTCCCAGCATGGACACACCTGTAGACCTCGCCTCAATACAAAGCCGGAAGTTCTGCCCAGGTAACTCGGCCGACAGGTTAATGGCACCCTGACACCAGACACACACATTCCATTGTTTATATTTTTTTATAATAGGACAGGTTAATGTCACCCTGACACCAGACACACACATTCCATTGTTTATATTTTTTTAATAATAGGACAGGTTAATGGCACCCTGACACCAGACACACACATTCCATTGTTTATATTTTTTTAATAATAGGACAGGTTAATGGCACCCTGACACCAGAAACACACATTCCATTGTTTATATTTTTTTAATAATAGGACAGGTTAATGGCACCCTGACACCAGACACACACATTCCATTGTTTATATTTTTTTAATAATAGGACAGGTTAATGGCACCCTGACACCAGACACACACATTCCATTGTTTATATTTTTTTAATAATAGGACAGGTTAATGGCACCCTGACACCAGACATACATTCCATTGTTTATATTTTTTAATAATAGGACGAAAAATTCAAAAGATCAAAACTAAACATAGGTCTTATGTTTTAGAATGTCAAACTATCAATGAACTCCCTATGAAATGGAACACATTTTCCTTAATTGAGTGGCCGGGCTTTTTGTTAAGTCATATCAGCATAATTTTTAATATGGCTTTAGTAAGGTCACACCAAACGTTATTTATTTTTTACTTCTTAGTGCATTTTTTCATTTGTGATGGGTTTTTTGTGTGTGTGTGTGTGTGTGTGTTAATTTTGAATACAATATAAGGCTATTTTCCTCAAAAAAAAATGGTTTATGTGAGAGTTATTTTCCACTTTTTATTCGTTCGAAATGAAATTGACACTGCGACTAGAAATTATTTGCTTTCAAATCCTTCCGGTAGCTTGTAATATCTAAAATTGAGTTATCTGCCCCTATTTAGCGCGTATTCGAAGATAGGGCAGGAAATCAGCCAACCATGAACAGAGCTCATCATAGACGGCCCTCTAATCAAGCGATCGCTAGTATTTTATATTGTTATCTCCCCTTTTATTATTTTATATACTAATTGAATATAGTAATTTTTAAATTAAATTGTTTTTCAAATTAGATTGAAAATTAGATATTCTTGCATTGTCATTCAAGATCTACCGCTGTACCGAATTTTAGCAATATCAGACAACGGGAAGTGGGGAAAATTAATATTCCAAGATTTGCTTAGCCACACACAAACAAACACACACACACACACACACACACCTACTTAGTGAGTTAAATAAAAGCCTTTAAACAAGAATAAAATATCAATCCGTTTTAGAATTGGCTACGATGTGTTAATTAATTAAACGTGAAACCAATTAGAACTACCTGAGGCCAGTCCCAGTCTACCTGACCAGACTTGCAGCCCGGGGGGATGACCAGGTACATCAAAGGTTCCGCTCCATCGGGCTGGTTGCTGGAAAACAATTTTAAAAGTTCCAGAAAAAGGGGTGCTCACAAATATACAGGTGTTGACATAAAGTTCAATCACGCGAGACGCTGAGGTCTATGCTTAACAATTGATGTAAACACTACATCCTATAATTTCTTAACTAAGGCACTCTGCTAAAAGGTTTTAATCTAAGCACTTTGCCAAGTTACCTGTAAACATTAGTCAAACGACACGGGTCAGTGAGCACGGCGGCTTTTGCATGATAGCACAAGGCAAAAGATAAAATGAACACTAGAGTTGTCTCCATTGTTTCGCTCGTCAACGGTGAGTTATGTCCCTGGATCTCTCAACAGCTAAATGTGTTGGTTCAATGTCAGTTGTCTCGCAGGATCTCTCAACAGCTAAATGTGTTCGTTCAGTGGGAGAATCCTACACGGTGTGTACACTGAGATTGACACAGCTCACTTTGTCGTACACAAATTTACACACGGCCCTACAAACGTCACTAAAGTCAAGTGCGCATGACCGACAGGAAGTGTAACATGTCACAAAAAACAGTTTAGTTTACCTGGCCAACAGTGACCTGGTCAAGAGATACAGGGGTCTTATTTCTTTAAACTTTTGTCTTATCTCTTAAACATTGGTCCACTTCTGGAATTTCACAACGTCATTGACAATAACATGCGAATAACATGCGGGATGAACACTGGAATTTCCAGAGACTAAAAAGATAGTATATGTAGCACACACATACGACTATGGTCTGAGATATGTCTAGAGATGGACCCCAGTTTAAGTAGTTTAACCTAATGTGTACGTATATTCTCCCAAAAATGCCATGACCACCCCCCTCCCACCCCCCCCCCCCCCACCACCAAACACTGAAACAAGTTGGTGCTTTAGAACCTCACATTTGAGATAAAAATGGCTTGTTATATATTCATTAGAGTCAATTACAAAAGCACATATCGTTTTAAAAAGAGAATGTGTAAAGTAATTGTGTTAACATACAGCCTGCGGATAACTTTTCCAACAACCAGCATTTGGCTAAATGTACTTCTCAAGTAACTCTAACGCTGTATCGTACAACATTGCTCGATCGGCGCTTAACTGGACACCTCAAGGAAAAAGGAAGCGGGGAAGGCCAATGGAGAAATGGAGGCGTACGGCAGGGAAGCAGCTGGCAGAGGCAGGGCAGTCATGGGGGACAAATAAAAGTGGAGGGAGCTTTCTGTACGCCCCCATGTGTCTTGGGCACAAAAAGTAAAGCATGTTGATGTTGAAACTCTTTAATAAAAAATAAAAATTTAACCTTCGAATTTATTTTTAACTTGAATAAAACAAAACAAACATGTTTTAAGATTTCTTAATAGAGCTGTTTTATTAAAGCTGTAGAAACATTGTAGTCTTTGATTGGACGATCTGGTTGGGACGCTGACCAATCAGCATCTCCCTGACACCACATGACTTGATCACGTGATGATCACCTTGTAGTTGAACCCTGTCATGTACAGAACCACCTGGATTGAGTTGACCATCAGCTCTACGGTGCTGTGGGCAGACGTGGCACACGACTCAACACCTGGGTTAGACCAAAAGATCACGTGATTTACATATCCAATACAAACTTCGGCACTTTAAAAAAGTTAAAATGTATAAAGACATTGGAAATCAAATCTCAATGAAAAGTAACCGTACACGACTTTGCTATACAAATAGAGACGGCGTTTTTTTTTTTTAAATTATGCCTTAAAAGATGGCGTCGCCTGTTTATTTACGTCATCACAGCACTACCCTCAGTGCACTTTTATTGAACTAATTCATAGGACCAGCCACAGGCAATCGTTCATGTATTGGTGTAACAAAGCGATAGTCTAGAATATAAGATTGATAAGTTTCTACCTCCTGTTCCATGATGGAAGGGGGGGGGTGACATTTAGGCATAAGAAATCATATTATTTTATTTAAGAGATATTGCTGCACATTACCTTACAACTATCTCATTGTCTCATCTTAATGTCGTAACTGCACTACCTTAGGCATGAAACTATCACCATATTTTTAACAATGATTTATAGTTAAAATTACTTTAGACTTTAATATCCCATAAATATTTACCTTCTCTGGGTAAAGGTAACTCAACATCCCTCCCCTCTGTGACGTCCTTGACCCCTGTGACTGCCGTCGTCGGGGCAGCCTCAAGACACAGGGAGAAAGTTTGTCCAGGTAGATTTAGTCTCAACTTCATGTAGCCCTGAAATTATGGAACACAGGTGTATCAAACAGCTTCAGATACCCTTGGAGTAAAGAACCACAGGTGAATCACAACAAACGCATCCCAAACAAAATACAACACTGACCTTTGGACTACTCCAGTTCACGAAACCGGAAGTACAGTTTTTAGGGACGTCCACTTCAACTATTTGTTGACTTGATGCTCCAGGGTTGCTGGGAAAATGTATCAGGAAGTATAAGAATGTATAAGAAACAATCTTACAATATAGTCTAATACCGTCATTGTCATACATTAGAAAGTATAGGAATGTATAAGAAACAATCTTACAATATAGTCAATACCGCTGAATTATTTAGATTTTAGGGGTAGGGTGGCTAGCTAACTGTAAAACTATATGACTTCCACAAACTTTTAACGATACAGTCAATATAACCGTGATACAATGAGAAAAGTTTTAATTTCAATTTTACGTTTAACCCTTTGTTTCGTCTTTCTTTGCAAGAGTCGCACATACGATACTTAGTGGGTTTTTTTAAGTGAATATATTATATTGACGACTTTAGCAATTTGATATATTTGATTTATAAACATAAATGCAGTTTGATGTAACATTTAAAACTTAGAAAGTGGTTATTGTCTTACTTTCTTAAAAGAAGTTTTTTTCAGTGTGGTATGTGTTACCACTCACCTTCCTGCCAAGATGTTGCAGCCATTGATATAAACAGCCCCGGCTGTACCGACAACAGCAGCCAAACAGCAAAGAACGATCACCTGCATGATGGTCTACTGTCTTACAGCCTGTAGCTACTGGCACTACCACACACGGTTTGGAATAAAACCTTTCTAGCTAAAGTAGCTGTAGCGTAATGACTGGTCAGGGGAGATTGTTCGGGAATATAAGGAGAGATAACTCGGATGTGTTCTATGTAAATGTGTTGGTCTCGTGTTCTTGTTGTTGTTTTTTTTATAACTCTTCACTAAAAAAAATCAATTATTTTTTTCTATTTCACAACAAGTCCAGAGAGAGATAAAATATTTCCTTCGCTTCATTGGCGTAAGGTAACTGCAGGTCAAAAGGTCAATAAGGAGCTCTACAATAACAGCAGGTCAAAAGGTCAATAAGTAGCTCCAACAATAGGCCAAACACACGAAACAACGGAACACATTGTTATTCTTTGCGTCACCATGGCCCAGAGGCGTAGCGATGGGAGGGGGGGGGCAGGGGGGGCATATGTCCCGGGCGCCGACCTTAGAGGGCGCCAAAATGGGTTGGAAAAAGTAATCGAAAGTTTGAGGGGGGGGGGGGATGCAAATCAAAAGTTTGTCCCCGGGCGCCGGGAAGGGTCGCTACTCCTCTGCCACCAATATCAAACCCATACCTAAACCACAACTAACCAATTCATAATCCATACCTTAACCATACATTGTAATCTATACCTAACCCATGTGTATTTTAAAAAGTTAATTTTAAACGAGGGAACTTAAATAAATGTTCGCAGTCCTTTTCTGATCGAATTTTTACCACGCCAAGCTTGTCGCAGTTCGCAATGTCTGGTTGTCGGGTTGTGTTGTTGTTTGTTTGTCTGTTTGTCTGATTGTTTATTTCTCTCATTGTTAGGTTGTGTGGGTGAAAGATAGTCTGGTTGTCTTGTTGTCAGGTTGTGTGATTGTTTGTCTGCTTGTTTGTCTAATCCACCACGATTGATATGTATGTATGTATGTCTACACATTTGATTTCAACACTGCTCACTTACTCTACACATTTGATGCTCACTTAGTATACACATTTGATGCTCACTTAGTATACACATTTGATGCTCACTTAGTCTACACATTTGATGCTCACTTAGTCTACACATTTGATGCTCACTTAGTCTACACATTTGATGCTCATTTAGTCTACACATTTGATGCTCATTTAGTCTACACATTTGATGCTCATTTAGTCTACACATTTGATGCTCATTTAGTCTACACATTTGATGCTCATTTAGTCTACACATTTGATGCTCATTTAGTCTACACATTTGATTACAACACTGCTCACTCAGTCTACACGTGGTCACTGAAGACAGGTGCGCATGACCGGTTCGTGTTTCACTGGTCAGCAGTGACCCTAGGTCAAGAAGCAGAATCTGGGGTCTTATCTCTTCAAACTGAATTCTTATCTCTTCAAACTGAATTCTTATCTCTTCAAACTGAATTCTTATCTCTTCAAACTGTTGTCGTATCTCTTAAACTTTGGCCCATTTCTGGAATTTCCTGACGTCATTGACATCTGCCACACCATGACATTCGAGATAAACTCTGGAATTTCCCGACATCTAACTCACAATAACAAACCTGAAGAAATCTGGAATTCCCGAAGACTAAAGAGACTAACAATGCTGCACATACAGTCTACAGACATCAGTGTTGTGGGATGTGTAGTTGACATAGACAGAAGTGTTGTAGGATGTGTAGCTGACATAGACAGAAGTGTTGTATGCTATGTATTTGACATAGACAGATGTGTTGTATGCTATGTAGTTGACATAGACATATGTGTTGTAGGATATGTAAATGACATAGACAGATGAGTTGTAGGATGTGTAGTTGGCGTTGACAGATGTGTTCTTGGATGTATAGCACACAGACACAACTGTTTCATCCCATTATGTTTTATGTGCACAAATACTCTCCCAAAACAATTTTTTTCAGTGATCGTTGTCTAACAATACGATAGTACCTAGATCTATATTATATGAAATACAAATATGACATTTCGCTTCAGTACCTAGCCACACAAAAGTATATAATGTATGCACATGTGAATTATCAACCCCACCCACTCGACACACACACACACACACGCACACAAAGAAATACCGCGACAAATGTAGGTACTATAAATTATTCTTAAAATCACATTTTATTTTTAAAAACTGTTTCATATTACTTTATTAGCAAAATGTGAAAATTCGTGTGGAGCTTCATAGACAGAACTTATAAGCCAGTTAACACATTCATTTTGTCTTTGAACAAGCTGTCATTTTGCTAAATATAAGAAATAAAGAATAATCAAAGCCAGCGTTACAACGTGTAAAATATACCTTACAAGTCAGAAAAGTCGCAATATGTCACATCCATTTCAGTATTATAAATTAATTTTCGAGTTTATTTAAACCACTTTTGAAAAATACTGATTATGTGTAAGAATGCATGCATTCTATTTCGACTGAAGTTTGATAATATTTTGCGACTGCATTATCACTGGTACACAAAATCTACGTCTAGTCAGCTGATGATAACACTTAGCCTTGGTATACTTATCATTCCCTCTGACCGACACTTCTCCATCATATTGTTACCTTTACACCATGTATTCCATCAAGCTTGCATTTATTTCTAAACATTTGATATGACTGTAATTTATTTTTGTTTGGCCTGTTATGTTCTAAATGGCAACACATTTTGGAATCAATAATCACACGAAAAGACACATTGTATTTACACGAAATGGGTTACTTTAAAATAATTTCCATATCTTTGTCATAACCAGTTGGTCATTATTTTTTTAAGAATTGTAAATTATACAATATAATCAACATCCAACGCGTTCCAATGGTTTTTATTTTTCAAACTTGAATAAAACAAAACAAACAAGTTTTAAGATTTCTTAAGAGAGCTGTTTTATTAAAGCTGTAGAAACATTGTAGTCTTTGATTGGACGATCTGGTTTGGACGCTGACCAATCAGCATCTCCCTTACACCGCATGACGAGATCACGTGATGATCACCTTGTAGTTGAACCCTGTCATGTACGTCTGCCAGCTGGGTGAGCTGACCATCAGCACTACGGTGCTGTGGGCAGACTTGGCACACGACTCGACACCTGGGTTAGACCAAAAGATCACGTTATTTAAACATCCAGTACCAACATCAGCACTTACACTGTTTTTAAGTTGAATTTACAAAAATACTGAAAGTGGTAAATTAATATTAAAATAAAAGTCTCAAGACTTTATCCAACATGACATAGCTAGATAAACGGCGTTTTCTTGAAAACTATTCCTGAAACGTTGTGGGTCGCCTGTTCAAACACTATCCCCCACTCCCCCCACCCACACAACTCTATACCCCACGCCCCACAACCCTATCTCTCCCCCACCCAACACAACCTTATCCCCCACGCCACACAACCCTATACCCCACCCCAAACGTCCCTATCTCTCCCCCCTTCACAACCCTATCCATCACCCCACACAACCGTATCTCTCCCCACCCCACACATCCCTATCTCTCCCCCCACACCCCTTCCCCCACCCCAAAAAATCCCTATCTCTCCCCTCCTTCACCCCACAAAACACTATCCCCACCCCACACAACCCTATCTTACCCCCACCCAACACAACCGTATCCCCCCCCCTTTAAAATATATACTAGTGGTCTTTTTATTGACCGCAACTAATGTATAAGACCAGACTCAAGTTAAAGTTAATTATGTTAACAGAAACAACAGATCACATTCAGACAGCAGAATTGAGGTCAAGAAAAGATCATGATGAAATATGACATTAAATAATAATTTTCGCCCACTTTCTTTGGGGAGGGGTTGGCCTTTATTTTATCTAAGTGTAATAACTGCAACTAGAACTAAAACTAAGACAGTAATCCATGTTAATATCATAGCTACTGGTATTTAAACATTAAGCAATATCAGTATTTACTAGCAAATTATCCATAAATCTAGATGAGACATCAAACAACTATTTTTACCAAAGATGTTTGACTACACATACCTTCACTGGGTAGAGGTAACTCAACATCCCTCCCCTCTGTGACGTCCATGACCCCTGTGATTGACGTCGCCCAGGCCGCCTCCAGACACAGGGAGAAAGTTTGTCCAGGTAGATTTAGTCCAAGCTTCAGGTAGCCCTGAAATTATGGAACACAGGTGTATCAAACATGTAGCCTCAGCTACAGGTAGACCTGAAATTATGGAACACAGGTGTATCAAACATGTAGCCTCAGGTAGCCCTGAAATTATGGAACACAGGTGTATCAAACATGTAGCCTCAGGTAGCCCTGAAATTGTGGAACACAGGTGTATCAAACATGTAGCCTCAGGTAGCCCTGAAATTGTGGAACACAGGTGTATCAAACATGTAGCCTCAGCTCCAGGTAGCCCTGAAATTATGGAACACAGGTGTATCAAACATGTAGCCTCAGCTTCTGGTAGCCCTGAAATTATGGAACACAGGTGTATCAAACATGTAGCCTCAGCTACGGGTAGACCTCAAATAATGGAATACAGGTGTATCAAACAGCTACAGGTAGCCCTGGAATAATGGAACACAGGTGTACCAAACAGCTTCAGGTAGCCCTGAAATTACGGAACACAGGTGTATCAAACATGTAGCCTCAGGTAGCCCTGAAATTACGGAACACAGGTGTATCAAACATGTAGCCTCAGGTAGCCCTGAAATTACGGAACACAGGTGTATCAAACATGTAGCCTCAGGTAGCCCTGAAATTACGGAACACAGGTGTATCAAACATGTAGCCTCAGGTAGCCCTGAAATTACGGAACACAGGTGTATCAAACATGTAGCCTCAGGTAGCCCTGAAATTACGGAACACAGGTGTATCAAACATGTAGCCTCAGCTACAGGTAACCCTGAAATTACGGAACACAGGTGTATCAAACATGTAGCCTCAGCTTCAGGTATTCATGAAATGACGGAACACAGGTGTACCAAACAGCTTCAGGTAGGCATGAAGTTACGGAACACAGGTGTACCAAACAGCTTTAGGTAGACCTGAAATTACGGAACACAGGTGTACCAAACAGCTTTAGGTAGACCTGAAATTACGGAACACAGGTGTACCAAACAGCTTCAGGTAGGCATGAAGTTACGGAACACAGGTGTATCAAACAACTTCAGGTAGGCATGAAATTACGGAACACAGGTGTATCACAATAAATTATAACCTGATGTGTATCTACGCAGTACTTAAGCCAATGCATACCCAACCCTGACCTTGGGATAGTTCCAGTCCACGTCACCGGAAGTGCAATTTTTAGGGACGTCTGCTTCAACTATTTGTTTATCTGATCCTCCCAGGTTGCTGAGGAAATATTTTAGGAAAATATGTTTAAGATACACGTATCAAATTATCAAATACCGTGACTGTCTTAGTACTGTAGCTTAGTTTCTAGTTTGGGGGAGGTGGGTGAGTAATGTGATGAATATTACAAATGCAGTTTTCATGTGTGAATTGGCGAAATTAATTAGCTGTTGTATTTGAATGTCAATTACGGGTTAAAGTCTTGCTATTTTAAATAGATGAGTCGTAAACACAATCGCCCACTCACCTCCATGTAATAATACTGCAGGCATCACCGTAAACAGCCCCGGCTGTACCCACAACAGCAGCCAAACAGCAAAGTAAGATCACCTGCATGATGATCTTGTGTCGTAGAGCCTGTAGCTACATGTACTAACACACAATGTTTGGAATGAAACTTTTTAAACTTAAGTAATGATTGACCAGGGGAGATTATACGTGAAGATAAGGAAAGATAACTCGGATGTGGAGTAGGTAAAGGTGTCAGTCACGTAGTTTTTTTTAAATTCTTAACCAAATGATGAACTTGTTTCTTTATATTATTCAACCATAAAGCCCAGAAAAAGAAAGATAAAACATGTTCTTCTCTTACTAAGCATAAAGTATCTTTTAGAGAAATAACTACAGACCTAAAGTCAACGAGGTTGTTTGTAAGGTGACAGGACAAATGATCTCAGGACAAATGGTTCAGGGACAAATGATCTCAGGACAAATAGTTTAGGGACAAATAATCGCAGGACAAATAGTTCAGGGACAAATGATCTCAGGACAAATAGTTCAGGGACAAATGATCTCAGGACAAATAGTTCAGGGACAAAAAATCTCAGGACAAATAGTTCAGGGACAAATGATCTCGTGACTAAGAGTTCAGGGACAAAAAATCTCAGGACAAATAGTTCAGGGACAAATGATCTCAGGACAAATAGTTTAGGGACAAATAATCGCAGGACAAATAGTTCAGGGACAAATGATCTCAGGACAAATAGTTCAGGGACAAATAATCTCATGACAAATAGTTCAGGGACAAATGATCTCAGGACAAATAGTTCAGGGACAAATGATCTCAGGACAAATAGTTCAGGGACAAAAAATCTCAGGACAAATAGTTCAGGGACAAATGATCTCATGACAAATAGTTCAGGGACAAATGATCTCAGGACAAATAGTTCAGGGACAAATGATCTCAGGACAAATAGTTCAGGGACAAAAAATCTCAGGACAAATAGTTCAGGGACAAATGATCTCAGGACAAATAAGTCAGGTACAAATTATCTCAGGACAAATAAGTCAGGTACAAATGATCTCAGGACAAATAAGTCAGGTACAAATGATCTCAGGACAAATAGTTTAGGGACAAATAATCTCAGGACAAATAGTTCAGGGACAAATGATCTCAGGACAAATAAGTCAGGTACAAATGATCTCAGGACAAATAAGTCAGGTACAAATGATCTCAGGACAAATAAGTCAGGTACAAATGATCTCAGGACAAATAGTTTAGGGACAAATAATCGCAGGACAAATAAGTCAGGTACAAATGATATTAGACAAAATATTCCATCCGAAATATCCCAGACAAATATTCCAGAATAAATTATCTCAGACAAAATATCTCACACAAAATATCACAGACAAAAATAAAATATCTCTGGACAAATGATCTTCGACTAATACCTTTCATCACCTGTTTTTACTAAACCAATTTATTAATTAAACAAAGCCAGGGTCCACTGAGTGAAAAATCAGTTTTAAAAAACCAGTTACCCCACCCAACCTGAACTACTCCCACACACACACGCACAAAACCATATTTTTACGTCAGTGCTCACCACAGTAACAGGTTCACACCAGAGATTTATTTTTAATTCTGCTGGTCTGTACATTTCTTGATATTCTTCCAAGACAATCCACTTCTTGCCAGTTACTTCTCGGCTGTATGTCTCCTGTCTCTTTAAGTCTTCCCTTTGTTACGTTTCTCTTGGGATTTCCAAAAGTCGTTGCTGGAATATTTTCTTACTTCATACACAGTACTTGGTCCATCAAAACCATTTTTTTTTAAATTACTTCTGAATTGTCTTCCATTTCCATTTCTCTAACCAACTTTTCGTTTCAGATGGATTGGGCTAGTGGGTGCTTTTTATAATTCAAAGACACTTCTTACTTTGGAATAAATCCCAACTTAAAGAAATGTTCACAAAATGAAGGACGAAGTATTTATTAATTGAGAACACTTTTTTTTAAAATTGCTTTCATTTTCATATTAAAGGTTAACCATAGCAAGCTTTTACTTAATTTGCAATGTCAAAATTTGAAAAAAAACTGTTAATGGCACGATTTTATCTTTCTTTCTCAAAACTTGCTTTTCCATTAGTATAGCATAGCTTTAGACTAATTACTTATTAATATGGTCGTTAATTTTTAAAAATCTAAAAACAAGCTACTATATAAAATATTTATTTTTATTTTTATTTTGGTCGCTTCTTGAATTTTAGAAAAGATAATCATTAGATAATATTTAGACAAACGATTTTCTTTATAGTTATTTAAATAGTGGTGCATTATTATATATTGAAAGTAAATAATTTATTTTCTACTTTCTTTTTGTGCATACCTATATAAAAGCTTTTTGTTATAAAATTTAAAAGTTATTAATCTAATTCATTAAAAATCATGTAAAATTACAAAAATAAATGCTTATGTTTGAAACTGCGATAAATCTATTGGTGTTTGAAAGAACTTGTTACATCACTTGTATAGTTCTAGTTCTAGTTAGCTGATGCTAATACTAAGTTGGTATAAACTTGTCAGTCCTTCAATCAAGCTGACAATTCTCGCAGCATTTTTTAACCTCCAGTATTCCAGCAAGCTAGCATCTATTAAATAAAATTGATATGACCCTCGGACAGTTTTGTTTGGGCTTTTATGCTAAGAATTTTACCAATTTTGGAATCAATAATCACACGAAATAATACATTGTATTATCTTTAAAATTGTACCTTCACTTTTTAGTTCTTAAGGATTATAAATTCTTCAATAAATATCAAAATTTTAGGTGGATAATTTTTTTATTTCAAAAACTTGAATGAAACAATATACAATTGTAATATTTCTTAAAAAGAGCTATTTCATTAAATCTTTAGATCCACTGCGATTGGACAATCTGAAAGTAGCGCTGACCAATCAGCATCTCCCTTACACCGCAAGACTCGATCACGTGATGATCACCTTGTAGTTAAACCCGGTCATGTACGTCTGCCCGTGGGGTGAGCTGACCAGCAACTCTACGGTGCTGTGGGCAGACTTGGCACACGAATCGACACCTGGGGTAGACGAAATTATCACGTGATTTAATACGTATACCCTGCACCAATATCAGCATATTTTTTAAAGGTTGAAATGTGTGCATGTAGGCTACTTGAAAGTCTAAATGTGTACAAACAGGCTACTTGAAAGTCTATCAAAAGAATAACAGCTCAAAGAAAAGTAATCTAACATGACTTTGCTACACAAATAGACATGGCGTTTTTTTCAAAAGTAATCATGTTCTTAGATCGTCCTTACGGCATTATCCACTCACCTTCCCCCCCCCCCCTTCCCCGTCCCAGAATACACGGGAGGGTGGGGGGTAAGGGGCTTTTTAAATTGAATTAAAGTTGAACTAATTCATGGGACCACACATAGGCGTCCGTTCATTTGATTAACAGAAACTACAGAATGTATGGGTACAACAATGCAAACATTGGGAATATGAGATTGTTTGATAAATTTCTACCCCTGTTGTAGGATGGGGGGGGGAGGTCGGTTGCCATTCAGGCTTAAGATATCATATTATTTTATTTTAGAGTTATTGCTGCACATTGATTTAAATTATCAATTGATTGATCCATGTATCATTACACTACCTTAGACATCAAACTATCACCATATTTTAAACTATGATTTATAGTTCAAAACTACTTTAGACTTTATAAAAGCCCACAATATTTACCTGCACTGGGTAGAGGTAACTCAACATCCCTCCCCTCTGTGACGTCCTTGACCCCTGTGATAGACGTCGCCCAAGCCTCCTCAAGACACAGGGAGAAAGTTTGTCCAGGTAGATTTAGTCTCAGCTTCAGGTAGCCCTGGAATAATCGACCAAACTTACATCACAATAAACTCACATGTATCCCCAACCGTTCAATAATATAGCCATTAACCAATGAACCCTGACCTTGGGATAGTTCCAGTCCACGTCACCAAAAGTGCAGTTTTTAGGGACGTCTGCTTCAACTATTTGTTTATCTGATCCTCCCAGGTTGCTGAGGAAATATTTTAGAATGTTTTATTTATAGCAGTCTTATAACATTGTCTAATACCGTGATTGTCATACAATCGCTGACATATTTAAGTTTCTATGGCAAGGGGAGCGGTAGAGGGCTTAAATAACTGTAAAACTACAAAATTTCCGCATAATTTTAATGATTAACGCCTTTCAATCGAACTCGGCTTTGAGCGGCTCTCTTTATTGGCACCCACGTAAGCCTCATCTTCTACCTTCCTCCTCCAGGACCTCCTCGGCCAGCCTACTTTCCTCTTCTAGTGGGGATTCCAGTCTAAAGCTTTCCTCTCGTTGTTGTCCTCTCCCCTTCTCACGGTATGCCCAATCCATCCCCATTGGCTGGCTTTAATATCCCTGTCTTTCGACTGTAGTTTGGTGTGTTGACACCGGTCTTTACTTGACATTTTGTCTGGCCATATTATAGTGAGAATCTGTTGTAAACATCTGTTTGTGAACGACTACAGCCTCTTTATATTCGTTTTGGTAACCAGGTCTTTGGGCCATACTGCAATATTGCCTTAACGTTTGTCTTGAAGATTCTTGCTCTGACAAGGCTGTGCAATTCCATATTGGGTGTACTGGGTTGAAGGCACATCTGGCCTTGTTGATACGGCTTTTTATGTCCTCGTCTGCACTCTTAACATTTTAAACTTACAAACCAGTTTTTCTGTGTTGTATTTGCTAAAAATAAATGTCAGATGATGGTGAGTTTAAACAGCAATTTACCACTCACCTTCCTGTCATGATACTGCAGGCATCACCGTAAACAGCCCCGACTGTACCGACAACAGCAGCCAAACAGCAAAAAAAGATCACCTGCATGTTGGTCTACTGTCGTAGAACCTGTAGCTACTGGCACTACCACACAAGGTTTGGAATGAAACTTTTTTAACTTAAGCAATGATTGACCAGGGGAGATTGTACGTGAAGATAAGGAAAGATAACTCGGATGTGGAGTAGGTAAAGGTGTCAGTCACGTAGTTTTTTTTTGTTTTTTTTTTCAAGCTTTTATTTAGTTCGCAACGTCTGTTTGTTTGTTAGTTAGTTAGTTTGTTTGTTTGTTTGGTGGGTTTGTGGCAAATACTGTAACTTAATTTTGACTCACTTCTAATGCAGCGATTTCGTTCAAACTTTCCAGATATGTTCCACTTCAATACAAGTCTATCTATTTTTAATTGAATGAGATGTTTAATTAGTTATTAAAAATTAATTACTGTAATCAATTACAAAACGGGAGACAACTAGCTAGATACTATCACCTGTCTGGTGAGCTGTGGTTCACGAGAATGTTTACAATCGCAGAGCCGGTCGATCTAGTGAAGGCTATTAGGGGCAGACAATAAAGTTTTTAAACAATTTGAAACTTCTGTAAAAACAAATTATCTCAGACAGTCATATCAAAGGACAAATGATCACAACGACAAATGATCTTAAACAAAATATCTCACATCACCTGTCTTTACGAAACCAATTTATTATCTAAACAATGCCAGGATCCACTGAGTAAAATCTAGTTTTAAAAAACCAGTTACCCCACCCAACCTGAACCACTCCCTAACACACACGCACATAACCATATTTTTACGTAAGTGCTCACCACAGTAACAGGTTGACATCAGAGAATTATTTTTATTTCTGCTGGTCTTTACATTTCTTGAAATTTCCCAAGACAAATTACTTCTTGCCAGTTACTTCTCAGCTGTATGCCTACTGTCTCTTTAAGTCTTCCCTTTATTACGGTTTTTAGGGATTTCCAAAAGATGTTTTTTTTAATTTCTGACGGTCTTTACGTTTCTTGAAATTTCCCAAAGACAATCCACTTCTTGTCACTTACTTCTCTGCTGTAGGCTTTCTCTAAGCCTTCCTTTCTTTTAACGTTACCCTTGCGGTATCCCATTTAGTGCCGTTTGTGTTTTGACAGATTTCTAACCAACCTTTCCCAAAACATGTATTTCTATCGCTAATCCATACTGTCTCGTCTTCAGTCTTTAGCAAACCCATTCCTCTAAAATGTACAATTTCTTTGAAATATTTGTGTTGCTTTGTGTGGGTGTGTTGAAACCTAAAGTTGTCGATTTTATAAAGGCTTTATTTTTGTTTACTGCTAAGGGTGATCAGGATACGTTCAATCAATGAACTAATTTAAAACTCACTTTCCCTCATTGATTGAGTCATTAATTAGCAAAACGTCAGCTAATAAACTAAACTCTGAACCAAGCGTGTTTTCGGGTTCTAAAATGAGACAACGCTAGCTCCCAAGTATCCCTCACTGTGTTGTGCTGATAAATTTTGCACTGTAAAGCCCAGTAATTTGTACATCCAGTTTGTGTTTATTTCACGAGTCAATTTTTATTAATCTCAAATTACACTTGGACACAAGATCTCGATGCTGTCAAGGAAACCCTAAGTTCAAGGTTGTCACTCAGTAACCCGGAAGTTGAAAGAGGTCATGTAGTACAACGTGTCAGAAGCAACCACTCGGAATACAGCCTCGTTGTGGACAGATTTGATACAGGTGGGGTGACCTGAAGACACCAATCAAATTATCTCTAATTATCACAGTCTAAACATGAGCGGAACAAAGGAAACTAAACATTTAAAAGAACTAAAATTTAAAAAAATTCACCCTCTCTTGGAAGGGGCTGAGCGTTCTCCACCCCAGCGGTCACCTCTACCACCCCTTGAATGTTTGTTGACCAACCCTCCTCCAGGCACAGCGAGAACGACGTGTTGGGTAACGACAGCCTGACCAACACAGAGTCCTGTTGATAACAGACGGATGATGATAATGGTGATGATGATGGTGATGGTGGTGGTGGTGGTGGTGATGATGGTGGTTATGGTGGTGGTGGTGGTGGTGGTGGTGGTGGTGGTTATTTGTGGTTATGATGGTGGTGGTGTGGATGATGATTGATGATTAATGATGATGGTGGTGATGTTGGTGGTGGTGGTGGTGATGATGATGATTGTGGTGGTGGTGATGATAATGATAACGATGGTGGTAAATATGGTGGTGGTGATGATAAAGATGATAGTGGTTGTGGTGGTGATGATGATGGTGATGGTGGTGGTGATGATGATGATGGTGGTAGTGGTTGTGGTGGGAATGATGATGATGATGGTGGTGGTGATGGTGATGGTGGAGGTGTGATGATGATGGTGGTTGTGGTGGTGGTGATGATGATCATGATCATGATGGTGGTGATGATGATATTGATGATTATCATAACGATGGTGATTAGGATGATAATAATTGTGATGATGATGATTATGATGACGATGGTGATGATGATGATGATGACGAGGAGGAGGAGGAGAATGATGCAAGCACGTTATTTATTTGTGGGATGATGTATGCACGGAAGATCGTGATGAACAATCTCCTAAAACCGGAAGTGATCTTCTTACTCTCGGGTAGTGCCAATCAATTTGGCCAACCTTGCAACTGTTTGGGATGTTGATGACCGCGTCTTGCCTGTAGGAGATGTAAGCTCACGTGATACATGCACGATGGTTGATTATAAAACACGGGCACAGATAAATTTTACAATTAATTTCACAGAGGTTATTGAAACAAAATATCTTCGCAGTTTTTTCCCCACTTATTAAGTCATTAACGTATCGTAAACAATGTTTATCTTTAGGAAAAGATTCAACATTAAAAGCAACGTTGATTTATGCACTTACAAAAATGTAAGTGTCTTAGTTTTTAAAATCAACTAGGCCTATTTATAACTAGTTACTGCTTTAGTTAAACCAATTTTTTTTTAAATTGTTTTATTGCCAACGTTAAAAAAAGTATTTATTAACTTTTGATCTCGATTTGTTTGTTTCAGGCACAAAAATAAGTTGGCACTATATTAATAATTGCAAAATTGGAAGTTAAAGCTTTTTAAACCCTTTATATAAGAAATATATCTTTTTAAGAGTTACAAATTTTAGTAGAATTGTATCAGCTAAATTCCGTACCCAACATTTGTTATCCAGCACGGATCTCCATATTCGAGTGCCGAGACACCCACTGATACAGCCAAACACAGAAACAATCCGGCGGTCAAGGAAAACATTTGAAAGTATTTGGCCTGTTGTAAAACACAAGTGCTGGTTGAATGGTCCGAGTGTGTCCTGGTGTTTGTGTGTGTGTGTGTTTGTTGATTTTTTTTTTTAGTTGTTTACGAGTGGCGAACGTTAGCCCATAGACCCAGAACTGTGGGTGATAGAGTGGCGAACTGTGGTACAGAAAGATTGTGTGGGCTAGATTAACTGCTGTCAATTTCACTAAATGGGTCGATCGGGAGTCACTCAATGGGTCAATCGGGAGTCACTCAATGGGTCAATCGGGAGTCACTCAATGGGTCAATCGGGAGTCACTCGTGGAAAATTAACTTGTTAATAAGGTTTTCTAATTGTTTGGGTTCTAAAAAGAACGAATTGTGTCCCTTCTTTTTTATCATTTTTATTCTGCGATATGTTTATGTGAAGGGAATATTTTAAACATAATCTGTTACCCACATACCACTGAACCCTCACAAAAAAGCTTTCACACAAACCTTTGTCTATTCACAAAGCACAATAACCTAATTAGAATCTTTACATACATATTGACATTTCACACTCACAAAATACCCATTATAATGTGATGTAACTGTTCCATACACACCAATTATTACATACTGTGATGTAACTGTTCCATACACACCAATTATTACATAATGTGATGTAACTTTTCCAAACACACCAATTATTACATAATGTGATTTAACTTGTCCATACACACCAATTATTACATAATGTGATGTAACTGTTCCATACACACCAATTATTACATACTGTGATGTAACTGTTCCATACACACCAATTATTACATAATGTGATGTAACTTTTCCAAACACACCAATTATTACATAATGTGATTTAACTTTTCCATACACACCAATTATTACATACTGTGATGTAACTGTTCCATACACACCAATTATTACATAATGTGATGTAACTTTTCCATACACACCAATTATTACATACTGTGATGTAACTGTTCCATACACACCAATTATTACATAATGTGATGTAACTTTTCCATACACACCAATTATTACATAATGTGATGTAACTGTTCCATACACACCAATTATTACATAATGTGATGTAACTTTTCCATACACACCAATTATTACATAATGTGATGTAACTGTTCCATACAATTATTACATAATGTGATGTAACTGTTCCATACAATTATTACATAATGTGATGTAACTGTTCCATAAACATCAATTATTACATAATGTGATGTAACCTTTCCATACAATTATTACATAATGTCATGTAACTGTTCCATACACACCAATTATTACATAATGAGATGTAACTGTTCCATACACACCAATTATTACATAATGTGATGTAACTTTTCCATACACACCAATTATTACATAACTTATCTATAAACCACCCAGCCCACGTATCTCCCCTCTCCACACCTTAACAAAATTCAATGCATCCTCCTCAGAAACTGTAGCAACTCCTGGTTGTATATTATGTTTCAATAAACCGGGAGTGATCTCCCCTAAACTTTCTCGAATATTCTTTTATAAAAAAAAAACAGGGGATGGGAACTCGGGATATAGACATGAATTTTAATCCATTTTAAATACTTAAACTTTTTAAAATAGAATAAAATCTCGTAGAAAAAAGAATTACACACCTGTGAACGCCAAATAAAACGTGCATAATAGTGCGGAATATTATTAGTACTTAATAAATTTACATTCGTTTTTTGAGAAATCGGAAATGGCGTAAATTAGTACTTGCAATCAACGGAAATTACTCAAAATTTGACAGACGGTAGAGAATTAGATCTTTTACTTACATATGAAATGTCATTTATCTATCTGAAATAGTACTCAAGTTATAGGCTTTTGAAAAATTCAAAGTAGAAAAAGTACCACTTCCGGTTATCGGAAATCGCTTAAAAGTTGATCAGGATCTACGATTTTGATAAAATACTTATATATGAAATTTCATCAACCTAGCTGTAACGGTACTCAAGTTATCGTGTTTACACACAGACACACACACACAGACATACGGACAGAATTGCAAAGTCCAGTTTTTACGACTCGATAACGCATAAAACGCCAAAATGTTAATATATTTCATTAATATTTGTATTTATAATTTTTGCCTGATTAAAATAAGTCCTCTATACTCCGGATGTGGTGAAGGACTGAGGAGTAAAACGGTGAAAACTTTCAAAATTTCATGTTATTTTTGTGCACGATTACAATACTTTCTCTATACTTCGTATATACAAGAAAGTAAAAAAGGGTGTGTGTGAGAGAGTAAGAAAAGTTTTAAACATAAATTAAACCACAGACATCGCTACATGCACTGTCTCTGTACCACGACATCAAACACAACAATTCTTGAAATAGTTGACACATCTTTTTATTTACTTTGTCAAATAATCTTATAACAAGAATATAAACAGAACAACAATGTTAAGCTATGAAAGTCTGGGTTCTCAGAAAAAAATGCGCAATCGGAAAACTGCGAAAACAGAAAAATGCGCAAATACAAACTAATTATACTAATACACGTAAATTTTATTTTGCCATATGTCAGGGAAATATGTTTTATTATTCTATAATGTACATGTAATCATGCTTTGTTAATGTCTATAAATGTTAGGTTTTAAAATACAAAAATGCCCTTGCACAGTTTTCCGTTGAGCTTCTTTCCGATCATTAAAATTTCGACTGTATTATCCAATATCTGTATTAAACTAGGCTGGCAATATCGCATAATCGAATACCTAGTATACTAAACCCGAGGCACGACCTTGTAATCGAAGCCGTTCATGTACATGAGGTGACTGGGCGCCTTAAGCTGCAACTCCGTAACGCCATTCGAGGCGACAGCACAGGAGGGGCTTTCTGTGGACAGGACATGGGCTTGGTTACTTGGTGGGCTGGGATATCAGGTCTTACAATACATAGTGCAAATATGGTTTGTAGTTTAGTACCTACAGGTTGTATCATGACCAGAGTTTCTTCCAGGCATCTCTTCGGGGGGGGGGGGGGGGGGGGCCTCCCCCCTCCCCCCCCCCCCCCCCCCCCGAAAAATTTTTACCGCACCCCCGAACGAAATGAAATTTATATAATTTATATAGAAAATATATACTTTTAACAGTGTCCGCCCCCCCCCCCCCCCGAAGAAAGTCTACCGCCCCCCCCCCGAAAATTTCAAGTGCCCCCCCCCCCCCCGGAGAAAAAAGTCTGGAAGAAACACTGATCATGACCTACAGTTTGTGACAGGACCTACAGGTAGTGACAGGATTTACAAGTTGTGACAGGACCTACAGGTTGTGACAGGATTTACAAGTTGTGACAGGACCTACAGGTTGTGACAGGATTTACAAGTTGTGACAGGACCTACAGGTTGTGACAGGATTTACAAGTTGTGACAGGACCTTCAAGTTGTGACAGGGCCTACAAGTTGTGACAGGACCTACAAGTTATGACAGGACCTACAAGTTGTGACAGGACCTACAAGTTGTGACAGGACCTACAAGTTGTGACAGGACCTACTGGTTGAGACAGGACCTTCAAGTTGTGTCAGGACCTATAAGTTGTGACAGGACATACAGGTTGTGACAGGACATACAGGTTGTGACAGGACCTATAAGTTGTGACAGGACCTACTGGTTGAGACAGGACCTACAAGTTATGGCAGGACCTACTGGTCTAGACATGACCTTCAAGTTGTGTCAGGACCTACAAGTTGTGACAGGACCTACAAGTTGTGACAGGACCTTCAAGTTGTGACAGGACCTACAAGTTGTGACAGGACCTTCCTTTAAGTTGTGACAGGACCTTCAAGTTGTGACAGAACCTACTGGTTGAGACAGGACCTACAAGTTGTGACAGGACCTTCAAGTTGTGACAGGACCTTCAAGTTGTGACAGGACCTACAAGTTGTGACAGGACCTTCAAGTTGTGACAGGACCTACTGGTTGAGACAGGACCTTCCTTTAAGTTGTGACAGGACCTTCAAGTTGTGTCAGTACCTTCAAGTTGTGTCAGGACCTACAAGGACCTACAATTTTTGTCAAGACCTGCAGGTATGAACTTACTTTCTGTGGGTAGATCTAGCACCTGGTTACGCCCATCTGTGACGTCCTTGACCTCTGTGATGTAGGTCGCCCAGCTCTTGACAATACACAGAGAGTAGCTCTGCCCGCTGAGTGAGAGCACCAGATGCAGATAGCCCTGGGACAGGTACACCCGGTTAGGTTTATTAAACACAACTTGGGTGTGGTAGTGTGTGTGGGGAGAGGGGGTAGTATGTGTGGGGGGAGGAGGAGTATGTGTGGGAGGGAGTGGGGATTAGGTTCTAACTCTTGACATGTTGATATATTTTAAACATGTATGTGTGAAGACAGGATTATGGTATTGTGACGTCACACGTTGTTGACCATGAACATTAGGCTTACGTAGTATGTCATTAATCTTTAAAACTGTGACGTCAAAAATGTCTTCATTTAAAATGTGTATTTAGTATAACACATTCGACCTATCTCTATGATATCAAGACATTATTTTTAAAAGATGGTAATTTTTTTTTAATGGTGGCGTCACAAGGGGGTGCGGGGGTGCGCACCTCACGACAAAAAAATGTAAAATTTACTATCAAAATAATGCAAAAAAAAATTTGGAGGGGGGGGGGTGGAGTGTCACCCTCGGTTACCGCACCGGGTGACACCCGACCCAGTGACGCCACTGATCCTTACTTTTTACTAAGTTTTAACTTTAATTAAGAAACGAAAGCTGAACATTCTAACCATTGGGTAGCTCCAATCTACGACACCGGAAGTGCAGTTCTGTGGTATTTCCAGCTCTGTCGTTTGGTTAGGCTCCATACCGAACTGGCTACAGACAAAATCAACACAAAAATAATTGGGGGTTTTCTTTGCATGATTACCCCCCCCCCCCCCTAATAGTTTGCCCCTATATAAACCTTATAACCTATTGAGTAGGCCTATTATTTAAAAGTATCAAACTAATATACCTGATCGTTCCTAAATTACATTGGTCATCAAAAGCAGCCTGCGTGCCGACCAGAAGAAAACTGAAGACGATGAGCAGCATGGCTGTCGTGTGTACGAAAGACCAGATGGACGCTACAAGCTACTCAAGCACGGCACAGGGCAGGCAACTCTTCTCAAACTAATTTTATCTGAGTTGATTTTTTTTTAATTAAAAGTGCTGATAAGAAATCCAAATCGCAGAAAAGTGCCATTGCTTGTTTTTAACCAAGTTATTAGACCAGTGGTTCTTAACATATTTTGGAGGCACCGAACTCCACCAGCTTCGAATGCGCATTTTCAAATTCAAAACATAGGTCTATATTTTACTGGTACACAAAATGAATCTTAGATCAACATCACTGTGTTCAAAGAACAGAAAATATTAAAATATAATTTTCACAAAAATTATTTTAAAAACATAGCAATGAATGTTTACTGCAAATCAGTGTGACTTCTGCCGTACCTTTCAGGCGCCAACTCTGAAATGCACGGCTTCACAGTGAATTTAGCGAGCGTTGTGTTCTTGCATTTTACATCTCCTTGTAGCTTAGGAAAGTGTGTATATATAATATTGAATCTCCAAATAGTCAAATAGTATTTCTTACAGATGCTAAATCTGTCCTGCAATCCCTAAAAAATCCAGAGTCGTATACTCAATTACTTAGGACAGCACTAGAAAGGCTAATATATACCTGCAGCAGGGTGGCCGGAAAGAACCGAAAAGGAAAAAAGCGCAACGGAAAAAAGCGCAAAACAAAAAGCGCAACGGAAAAAAGCGCACACGGAAAAAAGCGCAAAGAAAATAAACCGGGAGTGATCTCCCCTAAACTTTCTCGAATATTTTTATATAAAATAACAGGGGATGGGAACTCGGGCTATAGACATGATTTTTTAATCCATTTTAAATACTTAAAGTTTTAAAAATAGAATAAAATCTCGTAGACAAAAGAATTGCACACAAGTGAACGCTAAATAAAAAAGTGCATAATAGTGCGCAATATTATTAGTACTTTAAAATTTACATTAGTTTTTTGAGAAATCGGAAGTAGCGTAAATTACTACTTCCGTTCAACGGAAATGACTCAAAATTTGACAGCAGGTAGAGAATTAGATCTTTTACTTAAATGTGAAATTTCATTTATCTATCTGAAATAGTACTCAAGTTATAGGCTTTTGAAAATTTCAAAGTAGGAAAAGTACCACTTCCGGTTATCGGAAATCGCTCAATAGTTGATACGGATCTACGATTTTGATAAAATACTTATATATGAAATTTCATCAACCTAGCTGTAACGGTACTCAAGTTATCGTGTTTACACACGGACAGACAGACAGACAGACACACAGACACACAGACATACGGACAAGATTGCAAAATTATGTTTTTCCGTATCAGTGAGATGTAAAACGTCGAGATTTGTAAAAATCTCGATTTTTTTTTGCACGATTACAATACTTTCTCTATACTTCGTATATACGAGAAAGTAAAAAAGCGCACACAGAAAAAAGCGCAAAGAGAAAAAAGCGCAAACAGAAAAAAGCCCCCAAAAAAAAAAGGCACACAGAAATAGCGCAAACATAAAAAAGCGCAAACGGAAAAAAGCGCAAAGAGAAAAAAGCGCACACGGAAAAAAGCGCAAAGAGAAAAAAGCGCACACAGAAAAAAGCGCAAAGAGAAAAAAACGCAAACAGAAAAAAGCGCAAACAGAAAAAAGCGCACACAGAAAAAAGCGCAAACAGAAAAAAGCGCAAACGGAAAAAAACGCAAACAGAAAAAAATCGCATACAGAGAAAAGCGCAACCAGAAAAAACACAACGAAAAATGTGCAAAAGAGAAATTTAGCACAAAGACCATATGGACTAGATGACACATTTGGTTATACATGACTGTTAGGGCTGCTGTGAGAGTGTCGTGTTTGATCACGTGATCTACTGCCATTTAAAGCGTACCACTAACATCTGCATTCCCATCACCACGATACAGGCGATAATCACTTTACACAATGCCTATTATTTTCTAGGTCAATAATTATTCAACAACTATTCTCGTATAAACATAAAAGAAGACCCTCTTAAATAAATCTGATAGGAGGTTTTTAAATAGAATTGATGTAATTAAGAATAAAACAATCTATTAAAATATAATTAATGTCATTAAAAGTTAAACTATCTTCTTAAAAATTTATTTTAAAAAATAGGTATATGTTTATTACTATATCGTGTTTTAACGCTGTTGTATTTGAACAATCATGCACCGTAATTGCTAGAGCTATCGTCCGCACTGACAAAATCCGATCGCAACTCAAATAAGTCTGTGGTGTGTCTTGAACTCCACCAAACACCTGAGACAGACTCACCGAACTCCTGGGGTTCGATCGCATCCAGGTTAGGAACCACTGAGCTAGACATTGCCATTGATGTTTTTCAACGTGCCGAATAGTTAGTTGTTGTTTTTTTTAAAAATTGGGCCTCCAATGTCTTCAAACTAGTTGGTTCAGAGGTCCACTTTTGTTATGTTCGCATTGATGAATTTTTTTTTTTTTTGACACATTCATCTTGTGGGTCGAAAGCTGCGATTTTAAGATTTTTAAGATTTTAAGAATTAATGCGATAACAATACTATGTAGATGTCGTGAAAATAGGTTTTAATTGAAAGAAAGATTTTCTGAGGTTAAAAAAATGTTCTTTCCTTGATATATTTGCCTCATCGGTTTTTGATATATATATATATATATATATATATATATATATATATATATATATATATATATATATATATATATATAAGACAAAGCTTATAACAATGACCAATGGGTAAATAATTTAAAAAATTAAACAAATAGGCCTATAACGTATCTAGTTTTTTTAATCATCGTCATAAACCAAGTTACATTAATAATTTCTTTAAAAGTTACATAATTAGAATTAATCAAATTTGACAATTAACGTATATTAGATTGCTCATACTGTGCTAAAAGTCTAGAATGCTAAATATAAGAAAAATATTACTTGTAAGCAAACTGAAGAGTTTAAACATATTGTATTGCGATATAGATTCCTGAAAACTCTAGTATAAGATGCGAAGAAAATATCAAAATGTAGTAGCTAGAATTTTACTATAATAGCAACATTAAATAGTAACATCTAAGTGTCGAGTTAGATATGGTCTAGGGGAGTTATCAAGACCAGGTGAAGCTGACTATTTCTTGTTTCATGACTGTACATTTCTGTTTTAGGCCACTGTGTCAATGAGTTATGTACTGTTATGCTATGGGCCACTGTGTCAATTACATGTTTACAGTTATGCCATGGGTCACTGTGTCAATGCCATGTTTACTGTTATGCTTTGGGTCACTGTGTCAATGACATGTTTACAGTTATGCTTTGGGTCACTGTGTCAATTACATGTTTACAGTTATGCTATGGGTCTCTGTGACAATGACGTGTACAGTTATACTTTGGGCCATTGTGTCAATGACATGTTTACTGTTATGCCATGGGCCACTGTGTCTATGACATATTTACAGTAATGCTTTGGGACACTGTGTCAATGACATGTTTACAGTAATGCTATGGGTCACTGTGTCAATGACATGTTTACAGTTATGCTATGGGCCACTGTATCAATGACATTTTTACAGTTATGCTATGGGCCACTGTGTCAATGACGTGTACAGTTATACTTTGGGCCGCTGTGTCAATGACATGTTTACTGTTAAGTTTTTGGCCACTGTGTCAATGACATGTTTACAGTTATGCTATGGGCCACTGTGTCAATAACATGTTTACAGTTAAGTTTTGGGCCACTGTGTCAATTATGTGTGCAATTTTTCTTGTTACAGTTCAGTAAATATGGGTTGCAGGTTTTTATTCCAACACTCCGTCTGTTGGGGATCTGTATTCGGCCACCGTGTCACTTTCATATGTACAGTTAAGTTTTTGGCCAACATGTTAATCAGACGTAAACAGTTCTTTCATTGGCCACTGTGTTAAGTGTAGGCCTACACAGTTCTGTTTTTGGCCACTGTTTTAATTAGATGTGCACAAATCTGTGTCAGCTAATGACTGGGCGCTAGAATATTGGGTTCATATTCGTTTTTTGGGATTTCCATTTCTGGGTAGGTTGCTGTTTTTTTTTTTGCAGGTTGGCTTTCTTCTGCTTGTACTAATTGCTAGTTCGTATTGTCAATGAGGCTAGAAACTGAAGTGCTGCCGGGTTGCGGATGTTTGCTGATTCATTACTGGTTGGGCGAGTGACTTGCGGATAACTGCTGATTATCGGTCGTGCGGGATGCTTGTCGGCTAGCGGACCAACTGGATAGCTGTTGACTAATTAGTTTGCTGCTAGTTAGATGGCGACAGGTTTGTTGACATGTATAAGGCTGGCGTCTTGATTGTGGACGTGTGGGCTAGCTAGTAAAGCGTTGATGATTTATAAGCTGGCTCATTTTTGTTGAGAGCTAGCAGGCTATATGTTGAAGATTAGTAGCCTGGCAGCTGGTTGGCCGTGGGTTAGTGAATCGGCTGATAACGGACGCTAGACATATTGAGGCTGGCTGGTAATACGTTGATGGATGGTTGGATGGTGTCTACTCTGTTATTTGCTTTTGGGCTGATAATGTTTTGACATATAATAGGTTGAAGTCCATTTTCTTGTTGGTAATACATTGACTGATAATAGGCTGGCTTCTTCTTGGTTGTGGGCTTGTGAGCTGACTGAAAAATTATGGTTGATTTTTATTTTACTGCTTCTCTTTATATATCGTAATATTGTAAAACAATAATTCCTAATCAGATTGATTAATATGCAACACAAACAAATATATTGCTTCTGTTGTATATTGCTAACCATAAACAGTATTGAATATTTATTAGCACTGAGAGCTAAACTGTGAAAACTGAGCGTTAAGAGTTAGGAACTCACCATTTATTTCTGAGTGCTAAATCTTTCTGTCAGTTGTGTTGCAGGATTCTTGTTGGGTTGTAGAATTCTTATTGACTTGCTTAATTCTTGAAGGGTTGCATGATTCATGATGTGTTGCAGGATTCATGATGGGTTGCAGGATTCTTGTGGGTTGCAAAAAATCTTGTTGGGTTGCAAAAGAAATTCTTGTTTTTGGCAGGATTCATGTTGG